ACGGGAGATAGGTCGTTGCGTATGCTAGGTTAGGTGATTTTGAGCGAATCTTTAAAAATCAGGCGCAATGGTGTGGGTCGTGCCTTTTGCTTCGACACTGTTTATCAGTGCTTGACCGAAATCGGAAAATTTAGATCGCGTGACTCGGTTTCACGTGGCTCGTTCACAGGAGGTCGATTTCTGCTGTGGGTGCACGATGTCGTCTCGACGTTGTCGCCGATCTGTGACACGTAACCGGATTCACGCTACCGACCTTGTGCATCGAGAGTACGATCCCTCTTGCGATTCAGGCATGCGAATAGATTTGGAAAATTTGCCTGATTCCACGCCAACAATGGGGTTTGAGGCGACCTATAACGAAGTCGGCCTTCCAAACACCCGAATTCCTCTTTTCGTAGCGGGTCCCATGGTAATATTTCGTCTTCAGTGCGAAAATCAGGTACCTTCTTGCTTTGTCACCTTTATACGGAATATGCCCGCTGATAGGCGAAAAGAACCAACACCTGAAAATCCGGATTGTGATGTCTGTTGCCTAGTTAAGTGGCTGTTGACTGAGTGTCGAAATTACGAGGAGTGTTTTCAACGCCTCTACTACAAACCTCAAACCATTGTTTACGAGATCATGAAAGAGGTATGGCTTCGCTTTTGTTCGAAGCCGATACTCCTCTCAAGAATACATGTTCAAGTCACTAAGCAAATAAACTTCCTTACTATTGCTAATGGGGGACCTTTTATCTTCCCCGGAGATCCGAAACATCGTCGATACAATTTGGATTGGGAACTGAAGAAGGCCCATTTGGTGGAGTGGAGGAATGCGCTTGTCTACACACTGCGTCGGACGCTAGCTTGTGATGGCATGCAAAATGATGTCGCCAACTTCCTCATTCTGAATATCGTTAGAATTTTGCGGATCTTTGTCGCTTCTCTCATACCGATGGATAGTTCTTTTGAGGCTTGTGACGAATACCTCATCTTAGACAGCATCCACCATTTCCCTCTCACTACGCACCCAATACTTATGCTTTTTGCAACAGATCTGAGTAATCTCCTCCTTCGGCTGGACGACTTTTGGAATGTCAATCTGGACGGGCGAGAGGCGTGTGCACCCGATAACCAGGGAGTGTATGACTCCTATACCTTCATAGCATCACTGAATCTCCTCCTCATGAATGAGACCTGTGCTTTCTATAAAGTCCACATACCGGATGTGTATGTGCACCACTACGACTGTTGGAAACGACCGCATCGCTGTCCTTGTCGATATGCCCGATTTTTGGAACAAATTGAAAAAAGTTGCTAAACTATTTGTTTCTTTCGTGGGCTAAAGAAGAGAAACACTTTTTTCTGACCCAATTTTCCTTAGGCGAGTGGAAACGCCGTCACCGATGACATTAAAACCGAGTTGAAGCATTGGCTTCAGTAAATAAAAATATTGTGTCATTTCTTCAATTTTTTTTTCAATTAATTAGGAACGATTCGTTGACCGAGTTGACGCCGCTGTTCTTTGGTACTTGTTTTTTAAGTAGCAATAGTGTTTTGCACGGGTCACTAGGGTTAAGTGATCTCGTTTAGCTGGGTGCGTCCACAACTGCGAGGGGATTAAGAGGGTTGCTCATTCTGCCCTCATGTATAATCCTAATTTAATCTATTCGCCATCTGTAGTCCTCTTTTTCGGATCCGTCAACGAAGGACCTTACAATGAATCTATTGGCAGACACTCTGCTCGCCTTTTCACGTCTGGTGGAGGTACTTCGTTTCGCCGAAGTGGTGCCCTGGGTTGGAGAGGTCCTCTGCTACCTCGAGGTTGCCTTTGTTTGGGATCCAACCCTCGTCCTCGATGCTGCTCTCAATGTACGCCTCATTGGTGCTAAGATATTCAACTTTGCAAAGTTGAAACATTCAAAGGCATCGATTCCCTTTAGGCTCTGTTTTTGCCGTTGCCATGAAAATTTTTTTAGGTAAAGCGCTCTGAATTTTGCCTCCGCAGGTGATTGTTGTACTGTAGATTGAAGGTAGTCGCTGTGCGTAGGACTACGTATGGTTGACGTGCTATTGAAGGATAATCAGTTTTGCTTGCCTAAATCATAGTTTTACACCATTGTCCGCGCTGAAAGAAATTTTTCTCATTGTCAATGCATTATTTCAGCTTTTGAGAGCTCTATTTGGGACTAACTTGACAAGTATTTGGAGCTCTGAACTTGCAGACAAATTCCGCTCTGTTTTGGATTCAACCGCGACATCAACGATGGGTAGTGATGTTGTTTCGCTGTTTAATTTTTTAATCCACTCCATCTTACCCTGATTCTCCTTGTCACCGAAGAGAATGCCGACAGCCTGGATGAACAAATCCGCGGCCTCTGTGAGACACACTTCAAAACGGTCCAAAAGGTTTGCTCCTCCAATGCTACTAGTCGGTCCTTTGTGGACTGGCTTCACGCTGCGCGTCATTCAAATCAGCCGGCTATGCTTTGTCCCGCCTCTCTACCCTCGAGCATTCAACAGGTATGGTCGTTTTCTGTAAGGTTACATTTTTTAGCCCAATCTAGGCTACTACATTCGGTTGTTTGAGCCACTGGTCCTTCAGTGTCTGCATGAGTACAACCTGCACACCGATGAGGCGGTTCAAGCGAAAATCCTTCAACTTTTAACAGTTCTAGTCGAACTCGGTGTCAGCTATTCCCAGTTGGATGAGGAATTTGTAAGCTCTTCTTTGTTGTCAAATTGAGTATCATGCCTAACCATTGGGCTTTTCAGGCGTTTACAATATTCTTAATTCCAGCTGATGGTAGCAAGCCAATTCTCGAGGTTCCCCCGAAGTGCACGTTTTTTTGGTAATCCGCAGAGAATAGTTGGACAGCCTCAACACAGCCATAAAGGTTTTGCGATCGTCTTCATTCAATG